CATCTTCGCGGGGAAGCAAATGAGCGACGAGCTCAAACTCAGCGACTACAGAGTGGCTCCGGGCTGCACCATCCACATGGTGCTGCAGCTCCGCGGCGGCAGCTAGCTGCTGCTGCTGCTGCTGCTGCTGCTGCTGCTGCAGCAAGCAGATTCGCCTCATCTTCGCGGGGAAGCAAATGAGCGACGAGCTCAAACTCAGCGACTACAGAGTGGCTCCGGGCTGCACCATCGCACATGGTGCTCCAGCTGCCGCGGCGAGCAGCTAGCTGCTGCTGCTGCTGCTGCTGCTGCTGCTGCTGCAGCAAGCAGATTCGCCTCATCTTCGCGGGGAAGCAAATGAGCGACGAGCTCAAACTCAGCGACTACAGAGTGGCTCCGGGCTGCACCATCCACATGGTGCTGCAGCTCCGCGGCGGCAGCTAGCTGCTGCTGCTGCTGCTGCTGCTGCTGCTGCTGCAGCAAGCAGATTCGCCTCATCTTCGCGGGGAAGCAAATGAGCGACGAGCTCAAACTCAGCGACTACAGAGTGGCTCCGGGCTGCACCATCCACATGGTGCTGCAGCTCCGCGGCGGCAGCTAGCTGCTGCTGCTGCTGCTGCTGCTGCTGCTGCTGCTGCTGCAGCAAGCAGATTCGCCTCATCTTCGCGGGGAAGCAAATGAGCGACGAGCTCAAACTCAGCGACTACAGAGTGGCTCCGGGCTGCACCATCCACATGGTGCTGCAGCTCCGCGGCGGCAGCTAGCTGCTGCTGCTGCTGCTGCTGCTGCTGCTGCTGCTGCTGCTGCTGCAGCAAGCAGATTCGCCTCATCTTCACGGGGAAGCAAATGAGCGACGAGCTCAAACTCAGCGACTACAGAGTGGCTCCGGGCTGCACCATCCACATGGTGCTGCAGCTCCGCGGCGGCAGCTAGCTGCTGCTGCTGCTGCTGCTGCTGCTGCTGCTGCAGCAAGCAGATTCGCCTCATCTTCGCGGGGAAGCAAATGAGCGACGAGCTCAAACTCAGCGACTACAGAGTGGCTCCGGGCTGCACCATCCACATGGTGCTGCAGCTCCGCGGCGGCAGCTAGCTGCTGCTGCTGCTGCTGCTGCTGCTGCTGCTGCTGCTGCTGCATGCACATGCTCATCCTCCTCATCTTCGCGGGGAAGCAAATGAGCGACGAGCTCAAACTCAGCGACTACAGAGTGGCTCCGGGCTGCACCATCCACATGGTGCTGCAGCTCCGCGGCGGCAGCTAGCTGCTGCTGCTGCTGCTGCTGCTGCTGCTGCTGCTGCTGCTGCTGCAGCAAGCAGATTCGCCTCATCTTCGCGGGGAAGCAAATGAGCGACGAGCTCAAACTCAGCGACTACAGAGTGGCTCCGGGCTGCACCATCCACATGGTGCTGCAGCTCCGCGGCGGCAGCTAGCTGCTGCTGCTGCTGCTGCTGCTGCTGCTGCTGCAGCAAGCAGATTCGCCTCATCTTCGCGGGGAAGCAAATGAGCGACGAGCTCAAACTCAGCGACTACAGAGTGGCTCCGGGCTGCACCATCCACATGGTGCTGCAGCTCCGCGGCGGCAGCTAGCTGCTGCTGCTGCTGCTGCTGCTGCTGCTGCTGCTGCTGCTGCTGCAGCAAGCAGATTCGCCTCATCTTCGCGGGGAAGCAAATGAGCGACGAGCTCAAACTCAGCGACTACAAAGTGGCTCCGGGCTGCACCATCCACATGGTGCTGCAGCTCCGCGGCGGCAGCTAGCTGCTGCTGCTGCTGCTGCTGCTGCTGCTGCTGCTGCTGCAGCAAGCAGATTCGCCTCATCTTCGCGGGGAAGCAAATGAGCGACGAGCTCAAACTCAGCGACTACAGAGTGGCTCCGGGCTGCACCATCCACATGGTGCTGCAGCTCCGCGGCGGCAGCTAGCTGCTGCTGCTGCTGCTGCTGCTGCTGCTGCTGCAGCAAGCAGATTCGCCTCATCTTCGCGGGGAAGCAAATGAGCGACGAGCTCAAACTCAGCGACTACAGAGTGGCTCCGGGCTGCACCATCCACATGGTGCTGCAGCTCCGCGGCGGCAGCTAGCTGCTGCTGCTGCTGCTGCTGCTGCTGCTGCTGCTGCTGCAGCAGGCAGATTCGCCTCATCTTCGCGGGGAAGCAGATGAGCGACGAGCTCAAACTC